GAAACTCAAAGAGAGGAGCTAAGAGAAATAATATTGTTAATCCGAGCATGGAGATCAGATAGTTTGCTAACAGGTAACGTAGACTCGGAGCGGAATTCCGGGTAGTGGCTGTCGCAACTCAAAAGGGGTATCAATCACTTAGATTTGGGAAAATCTCAATGACTTGGACGTAGTCATCGAACGGCATAAATAGCGAATATTGCAGTGTCGGTGAAATGGGAATCATTCGGTGAGGAGCAAAGTGGTGTCATGAATTAAGTTTGCATAGAAGATCCAAACAGGGAAAACGAGGAGCTATATCTAAAGAAGCATAGAGAAGAACTACGTGTCTCATTAGCCCGGAAGCCAACAGCCAATCGTGTGCCCCTTGTGGAAACGCACAGCGGTGGCGCTGACGTGTTCACATTCATAATTACACGCATGCAGCTACTTACTTAATCACGGACCCGCCAAGTCATCGATTTAGCGATAGAAAGTAGAGCTAATCGGGACTGCCACTTTCCAAATTGCACCTACAACACTAGCGGGTGGGCTGGTAAAAGCAGTCTACAAAAATAAACTGCAGTTACAGGAACGCGTTCGCACTCAAACGCGCATCGCCCACGTACGAAATGGAATTGATCGCAGTACCGTACAATCAGACCGATTTAAAAGAGAACATTTGAGAAAATTCTTCACTCCAACACTCTACCGGCTACTATCATCCTTAAGCGTTTGTAGCACCACTATAGCACGCGATATATTTTTAGGCAGTCGAAAAGTAAAGCCTGCGTATACTATCCTCAATCCACTTTTACAACACCTATTCCCGCATTATGACTCATCACGGCAGACGATAGAAATTTGGAGGAAGATGAAGCAGTCGTAGGGATTGGCTAACTGCTTTACTGTCTGTAAAAATATTGGCCTTAGACAGGTATCATGGATAGTTTTCTATATGAGTACGCATTACGTTTCGACAACCAACGTTATCATTAAGAGATCTAGTTGAGAAAATCTGCGTACAAACTAAGGAAGGGCGAAAATAAGGAAAAAGGCAGGTGTAAAAAAAGGATCACAGATAATTATTATTTAGGACTTCTGTGTAGAAATATCTTTCTTATGGTTTTATATTTGAGGCTAATCAAGTAACGTGTATTAGATGTCGTGTGTTTTAGTAACTTTGACTCGTTCGGTCTTTCAACTGTGCTGTAAGGTGTTTAAGCACTTGACAAGGGGCAGATATTATCGGTAGGGGTTAGGGAATAAGGCCCACTTTGTACGCGTGCCGCTTCGTGGAGACGATTTGATTCTCCCGTGTGTACAATAGCAGAGACAGTACAGTGACGATGTAACAGTTGTATACTGGGCCCTTTAACATATAAACTTCGCCAACCTTATTGGCGAAAGAGCTACCTGTTAAGTGATGTAATTTCGAAACTTGCGTCCCTAACTCATGGCTCATTGTCAAGAAGTTTTGCGAATCGAGTGCAGTGATTTGTCAATTTGGGAACGTGACAACTTAGACCACTGGGGCTAGTACCCAGTGAATATCGCGTCCGAGGCCTCTATTTGATAATACGCAAGGTTGGCTGTATTGGAAGTGTTCCATCCTGTAAATCTAGTTTAGTCTTTTTCTTTGTTTAAATATATATGTTACGGACAAATATATATTTAAAAGATTCATGACTAGTTATTGCACCATGGAACTGCGTCACGCATTGAATATTTTGTCTCATACATAAAAATGCTTGTCCATGAGCCTATGCATATACGCACGCTCCACGCCTCTTTTTCTTGCATAGTCTGCGTATAATCGGCCATCGAAGAGCAGCTACATCTCCATACTCTTTTCTCGCTCATAATTTGGAAACCAGTGCAGATTCCCCGGTTTCTTGATAGGCATATTTTTCCCTTTTCCTATCCCCTATTCCACATTTTCGCACGGCGTCTTCCTATCGAAAATAACACTTGAGTGAGTGTCTTTTCTCTCGCTTCACATTGTCACTGGATGTTCATCGTATTCGTCTATGCACATCTATCCGAGCGATAAGAATCGATTTCTTTCGATAAGAACCAATGAAGCCAGTGAATGCGTACGAGTGAGCCATCATTTCGTCTTCATTTGTTTTGTCTGAATTGACTTTCTGATTATTGAAGCCGACCACTGGACAACGATGCCTTCGGCAGGTCGGCTCGGTCTTCCATTCGTGCGTTTGTTTACCTGCGTACCAGGCTGTCTAAAAGACTGGGAATAAATCATTAATTTTGACCAGACGTATCAAAGATGTTTTTACTTTTCGTCTACTTTCTGATGATGGGAAAACAGGAGGATTTTTTAATTTTCGGATGATAGTGAACAATTCATTATTTTAATTTAAAATTTGTCTATCTTCTAGTTTCGAACTATGGTATAGAACGATTTCAAATTTTGTCTTCAGGTGAAGTAAATTCCTCAAGTACTTACTTCAAGTTTACGTTAGTCATGTATTTCATTATTCAAGTAGCTAAATACTTGTAGTGTGGTGATTGTTTTACGCAGGCTTGAAGCATGCCAGACCACGTCTGCATTTCGGCACCCATCGTGGTGCATTATATAAATCGAATTTATAATACAACAAGTAACAAGAGACCATTAACTGCAGTGCTGCTGATAGATCCCCGGTTAAATTTTACAGTGCACTTGACAGTCATCTTTGTTTATACGAAACAATCAATGAAATGGCGCATGGAAGCCACCCGTTTTTATTTTCAACGTGGCTTCATAACATTTCAGAAGAACGCAATTATTCATTAATTCAGTGTTGAAATAAAACCGAAAAATATGGCACCGTTTGGGATCCCAAGATAAGGATCTGGTTTACGAGTCGAATATAATTCGAGGCTTAGCATTTATGGATACAGGTAGAGCGATATAGGCAACGCTATCGTTGACAACAACCGATGGCACAGGGAAGAATATATCCACTGAAGTCTTCTCTACCTATGCCGAAAAATCTTTTCGATTGCGTGGCCAAAATGGCCTCACCGTTATTTACCTTTAAGAACTTAGCAATTGAGAGCATCAAAATTTTCGGCTTATACAGGTGCACACGGCAGGCCTATATATGGACCAAAAACTGATTTGTATAGGCCGGTAGCAATTTCGCGGGTCGAATTCGTTTCTTTTTGTGAAAACTTGTGATCACAGCTAGCGAAGCTGATGCCCTCTAATCATTTATGGATAAGTTAAATTACCCATGATAAACTTTCATTTATGATTATGGCGATCTGCGCCGCTATGCATACGCCGGTAGCCTTATTTTACGTTATGCCAAAGAGCTCATCAAAGCTTCTTTCAAAAACAGCTTCATTTGACGCTTTGTTGACAACAACGACGACATGTCGTATAATGAAGTCGTACACTAAAATTACAATATCGTATTTTATATACACATTGTTCTCAAGCAAAGCTTGTGCTTTGAGGCCACTTTAGTGCCCTGTAAAACTAGCATTTACAACATCCGGTTCCATATGGGCTCAAAACGCGGTGATCCGTACAGCCTTGATCCTCCCTCTGATCCATATACCCCCGGGGTGATAATGTTATATAACTCAGTGTAATGGCTTTTATAAACCCTAATTCGTTTTCAGTTTGCCTCTAAAATTCTAGCTTTGGCATAAACGAAAGTATAAAAGAAAGAAAAACACTGACTTTTTCCACTCATCCTTGTTGCTTTTTTTTCGTTGTTCAGTAAATACGAAAAGTACTATCTAATTGCCCCCAACGTTAACTTTAGTTCTTAATATTTAATCAAAGGAAAGGATTTCGGTTACGCAAATCGCACCAGGTTTCTCATCGGCGTAAGTTCTCAAATTTGTATAAAAAATCAACTGTACCTTTGTGATGGAATTACCTTAATTAAGTATAGTTTTACCTTCTTATATACATATACATATATATGTTTATTCCTGAAATTTTAACTGCTTAATTTTGATTACTTACATTTTTACGGACATCAAAGGCTACATATATGAGGCGAAGTACGTTCTCTACATAAATACAATTACGAAAAAGCTGAACGTTCAATTTATTTCCAGCGGACTTTTGCTCCAGAGCAACACGTTATTAAAGTGAACTGAAAACAAAACAACTGATTTCTATAGAGGTCTATTATATATATATATATATATATATATATATATATGGTTATGCGGTATGAGCACCTTGATTGTTGTAGAGAATGCCGTCCTAGAGAATGGCATTTTGTACGATTCCTTTACTGCTGACGAGCGAATTAACGCTATGGTAACGGTTTACAGAAGCCTATGTTAGATAAAACATTTATCTTATCAAACAGTCGTTTATAGCACATTTACAGAAGAAGAAGAAAAAGAAGAATAGGAAATATTATAGAACAGACTTCTTAGAATTAAAAAGTTCTTCTTCTAATACCACTTGTACAGCATGCTAATCGACCAAAGATATTGTGGCTTCCGAACAATTTCTCCTTAGCCTGATATCTTGACCCTTTAAGTTGAAACAAACCCAAGATGAAAATCTTCGAGGCTGGATTGACCATATCCAGCTAACCACACTTCTTCATTGAGTTTGATTACGTGTCAACGGATTGACGCTCGCGTAGCTTGAATTGACGCAATAAAAAATACAAACCATTTTTAAATTAAATTGTTTATGAAGTTTTGCTTGTATGCGTATTTACACCCTAGGGCTTTGAAACCTATAAATCTGACGAAAGGGTGAATGTATCAAAGATACGATGTCATAGTTACGATGTCTGATCAACATTGGTTGTTTTCGAACCTGGTTCTACTATTAAATGCCCTAATATGTTTTTATCATTTTTTCATTCGTACCTAACGAGGCAAACGCCTGACCCAGTTGCCCCAGAAGATGACGATAACCGAATGATATGTTATGGATCTTTGAAATTTCTCAGCTAAAGAACTAAAAAGGTGTCCAAGTTGAATGACATAGCCTAGCTAAGATAAGCACACTTAGAAATGTCAACATATGTATCTATCGTGTTCTTCTTTATTTAAAAAAACGCTCATCATAGTAGTATAGTATCCCTTTGCCGGCCGTAACCATTGCACAGACACAGACGTACACGCTCAGCGCATATTCTCTCAGTTTGAAGTTCTGCTATTTTTATATAATATATCTGTTAAGCATCTCGTTGAGTGTCTAGACCATTGGGAAAAATGCCCAAATGCGTGATCTCGGTCTTTGTCTCGAGTACGTCCGTCCTTCGTATCGCGACCCATATGCGAGGTCGACGGTTTTCTTACCATCCACAGTAACGATTCCATTCATTTACTTTTTTTTTTTTTTTTTTTTGGCTATCACTATTACAATTTTTTTGTGAATGGTAAGTGTGCTTCCTAATTTTTGTGTTGGCAATCAGGCGTCTTTTTTCGTGTACCTACAAATCGTTTTTCGACCAAAAAATAGTGCAGTGCCTACTATCATAAGTGCAGCGTATGAGTAAAACACATATCATTAACGATGCGATTTCAATTTCGTACTAATTAGGAGACAGTTCCGGTTGTATCATTTTCATTACATACGCGTTTGTTATAAAATAGATAGAGGCAATTGTGGCTACGGTCAAATTGTGTTCATTACCGCCATAGATAATCATGGTACGGGAAACTATCTCCAGTATTACTGTTATCGTGATTTTTCCCATATTTACCAGTATTAGCGCCTATCTATATCGTGATATATAATATATACATTCGATGAAATTGCCATATTTGGCCCACTCACTCGGCGCGTGCCCTATACCATGACAGCATGGCCAAGACTTCGTCAGTGCATACACATGTACCTACATTGGCAAAACGTACTGTGCATGATATCGAACGGGAATTACAAGCGATCATGATGATCTTCATAACCAAGAAGAACAAATGATTCTACTGTTGCTTCGAGTGAAAACTCATCAACTCACAATTAAAATCTATGCTGAATCGTATATATTACACTCCTATCCAACTGCATAAACTGAAATCTTAACGTGTTTTTTGTGGCTAAAAGTAGAGACTACTAAGCTTGATAAATTTACTGTTAAAGAAAGCTGACATCTGTTATTACTGTCGTCAAGCTCTGTAGAAGATAAACATTTTTGCAACTTCGACGATGCATTGCATTGAGGGTAATTGTGTACGACTTAGAGGCTGAACGAAAATGTCTACGTTGTTATGAAGGCAATGGAACATTCTGAGGTGTGGACTTATAACCTTATAAATATTCGTCTTTCAGAGCAACAGCGAAAGAGACGTTAGCATATGCCTTAGCAATGACGGAAACGCCAAGGAACTGGAAATGCACGTCCTACGTTGAATTGCTGCTGGATGAAGTGACATCAAATCGGGATTTGGAACATAACGAAGGATATGGTTCGTTTCAAATCGATACCTCGGCAGGAGTCTGATGGAGCCGCAAATATTCCTAAGAAGCTGTCCCACAGATGAAATCATTAACTAAGCGTACCGGTTATTAAACGTACTCCATTTTGAGCTTCTTGAGCTTATGCTGTAGAAAAGTGTCAGAATTAACAAAGCCAATGTGTCGAATTATGCATAGACGCAATGTCTGCCCAATCTATTGTGTAGTGCGTTGGTTCTCTATATTTCGAATTTTACGACCGATATCGTGCCGCTAGGCGTTCGATCAGATAGCTGGCTTTCAGCGCGAAACGAAGCGTATCAACGCACGGCTTCCAAGCTAGAATGCATTGGTTCCAATAACTGATGGCCAGCGGCGCTCCACCGTTCGACGGATACGTGGGTGCTACTTGCCCAAGAGTTTTTATTACGTTACCTTTTTACTTGTCGTAGCGTCTTCGTCCCGAAGTACAGCAGAGTAGGGGTTGCAAACTACGTGGGCGGACAGTTTGAAGTTGATCCAAGAACAACGAAAAGATGAATGAAGCGGTGTGGGAAGTATCCAGCATTTGACGCGAATATAAATCGTCCACGAGAGACCGTTTTATAAATATGTACGTATGGTTGAATCGTATGTATGGTCCAGAGCGGGAAGTGATCAGTGTGGCTGGAGCCCTGAACCGTTCTGAGAGCTATGTTGGATATGTTCGTGGAAATAGAGATTTGAAGGCACTGCGACACACATATATATATATATATATATATATATATATATATATATATATATATATATATGAATAGTGTAGCCAACTACTGGTTTAAACACTGGCTTTTTTTCTACTTGGCTTCGATTTCGATATCCTCTTTGCCCGCCTGCCTGCCTACCTGCCTGCCTGCCTTCGTTCCGACTTCTCCTTTTGTCGTCTTTTCCTGTTACCCTAACTTCGTTATACATAGTTATTTGGTTTTTGTTTTATTTTCTTTTATTTTGTCGTCATACTAATTACTAGTAACACCGTCATCATTTTTTCCTTAAAGGTATATGTATACGTGTGTGTATATATATTATGCGGCATCGCGTTTCATTTTTTCTTATAGGCTATTATCAAAATATGTACTTCATAACCGTCGACTTCAGTATAACACTTCCATGCTAACGATATTCTTCTGTGCTTTTCGTTCTGCTAGCTTCTTTTCGTTAGGTCTCAGGTCACTCTGCTTCCATGCATATAGTTTAGCTAGATTACACAATCTTGCACCAAATATGCGCTGTTCGTACGTATACGTTTGTATACGCTGACTTCAGGAAAAGTCCCCAGGGGTAGACGACGTTGCACAAGACAGTCGTGCCGATTTCGTCCGTTCGATCCATCGATGAAAGCGCTTTTTATGCAACAAGAACATGTAGCATTTATACGGAGGGTAAACTGACCGTTCCATTCGCTCGTTATTAGACCGTGTACCGCTCACCTATAGAAATGAATTGCTACACACAGCACTGGACTCCGACGAACTTCCAGCTGTTTCGACGGCGCGCTAATTTTCTGTACAAGGCCGCGCTGGCTAATTGAATAGTCCTATTTATTGGGTTTTAGTATGTTTACTCACAGTCGACATTAGGCGTTTATTATCGTACTTTTTTTGCCAGTGATGCTGTTTACCGTCGCAATTGTCTTCAGCTACGAATATTGATGCTGCCTTCGCTCAGTCTGCGCTAAGGTGTTCCCTATATATGTTGCTACACACCAGGCCATACGAAGTTAACTGTGTATCGACATTCTCCGGCAAGATACATGCTCATAGGTAGTTTGCGACGCGCCGATATGTTGTGATAATTAGCTATCCCCATATGTCAGCTAGTTGGTGACTTCGTACAACAGGTGGTACGCTAATATCCAGTTTGCGTACGGTAAGTGAGGTGCGTGAGACAAGCGGCAATTTTGTTTTCATTTGCCTACGCTTAGGTTCAAATCAATCCAAAGGCAGAACGCTCACTGCCGATGGTGGACATAGTGCATATATCAATCGTATGTACGGCGCAGAATTGAACAACCTTCAGCTTTGGTGCTCTTGAATCTATCACTGCATACACATATATGTATATATATATATATATATATATATATATATATATATATATATATATATATATATATATATACAGCGGTCTAACTGAGCTCGCGATAGCCGACGCTACGAAGCCTGCCTACAACGTGCAATCGGATGAACATTACTCGTTTCGGCCCTAAGGCTTCTTTGCTATCCTTGAGTTGACTTCCGAGGTTCCGTCCGAAATGGGTTGGCCGCCAGGAGTCGGCTGTAGCATCGACAATGTCGACTGCTGTCCCTGTGAAGCGGAGAAGGCCGAGTGACTCTGGGCGTCGAGGCATCTTGGCACAGGGGCAGACCAATGGCCCTTAGAGACGCACTTAATGATGCCCGCCCCACGAAGAACTTTGCCTTGCGGACATTCGAATGTCACTGTTTCATTGATGCGGTAGAAATAACTGACACGCGACACGATTCGAGCTCCGCTTTCGCCCATTGGCGGATACTGACATGCTGGAACACCTAGGACCGGCAGAAACGCACATTGAACGGAAGCGATTAGAGACAAAATACAAATAGAATTACTCTATAAGCATGCATTATACCGCGCCTCTGTTAACGACACTAACGCGCGAATCACACGCACACATATCTAGGCTTTCGTTATCGCTCTAGATATAAACGAAGAGGCATCGTAAACAAGGCAACATTCTCTACTTTTTTTTTTATTGTGGACTGAGGTTCACAGCGAAAATCATACACGAGAGGATCGCCACAAGGTTGGCTACATCATTAATGTCTTCCGTACACAGTCATATATGTGTATACGTACAATTAAAAAAACGTAGGGAAAAGAAAGCTCAACTTCAATGTCCTCTTTAAAACTAGCTTTGTATAGAATAGAATTGCTCTGTGTTTCCTCTTTTTCTTTGACGTGTACGCGTTTTATACGACGCGACGGAGATGCAAAAGAAAATCCATACAGACTGTCAATTCTCACCGGTTTTGCTATCTGAAACTCGCTGAGAATCGGAAAGCGATAGAGTTGGAGGTAACCAAGGCACGCGAACTCGACCTTGTGTATTCATGCTCACCTCCATACGTGTGAACGCCTGTATGTGCGTATCCATTTAACAGCATTTGGTCATATGGATGTGTAAGCATTAGATTTGCATATATCTGTTTTCATACGGCCTCGTCCTTAGGGGCGACAAAGTGCGCCTGCAATATGCTCAATGCCACGCTCTGTGTAAGGCTCACTTAAAACGAGCGCATCACCACCCTCTTCGTCTATTTATACGGAACAGAATAAAGTATACCTCACTTTGTTATTTCCATCTACTTAGTTTCGGTTGCTCGTGATAGCGCTTTGCTAGCAGTGCGGCTCGACTTGTGCTTCTACACATTAGGGGTATATGTACGATCCTGTACGTAGTTACGATGGCAATTGGCAACATAAGCGAAACAGCAACGACCCGGAGAGGTATCATAGCGCCTGCTTACATCACTGCCTAAAGTATGGGATACAATGGGCTGCCGGTACTGATGCGACCTGCAGCATGTCCAATCCCTGTTTCTATGGTCTCTAAGGGCCAGTTGTTTGGAGATTGGTAAGCCCAGTGGTCTGTGTGTGTTAGGCCTGCTGCTTCGTTGTGGTGAATCAGAGCGGCCAAAGAGGATTCGCCGACCTGCCGGCCTACAGCCCCGCTTCGTGCGCTTCTCTGCTCGAGTCGGACTCGGAAGTGGTCAGCGATGTGCGAACTACGTGGCATCACGCTCTAGAGCATTGGTAATGCTGATGTTCCTTATCGGCAAGCCACATGCACGAGCTAACCAGTTCGAGCTTTCGACGTCCAAGGTCCCATCGTACTGGTGGTTGTTGGACGCCGGCGACGATGTTCTAGCTACCGACGCAAGCAACCATGTTGATTCTAATGCTTCACTGTAGCACAAAAGAAACCGCGCAGCCCTGTGGCGGATGACAAGAGACACAGCCATGTATTACTGCTATTGCTCCTCCTAACGTTGGCTGAGTAGCGCTGCGCATCTTTCGTGGCAAACGGCTAATACTAAGCGGGCAAAAAGGTAAAAAAGCGGATAAAGGGGCATGTAGGGTGCAGGAAGCACAGTGGGCATAAGTAGTATTGTCGTCTCTAGTCTTGTCTGTTCGCCCGGCAGGCTGTCCAGCTCCAGTAAAACCTTTACACTGAACGACTTCTCATAGCGTCGTATCGTCCTTAAGTGCAATGCGGGAAACGCTAAATCACGCCTGAGTGGATTACCGAGAGCGAACAACGCATTAGCGAAATGCAATACACACAGGCGATGGAGCTGCTACTAGTTGTCTGGTAGCTACGGCGGCGGCGGCGGCAACGACGACGACAAAAATGCAGGTGGCAACGTGGTGTTGATCAAACCTTCTTTTCAGGCCCGTCCCTTGCCTGACTGCAATCTTTCCTGTACTGATCTAAATTCAGTTCGTACCCTGCCGTACATATCAGCTTTGTCTTGTTTGTGCCAGTGCCACCCAATTCAGCCAGTATAAGCAGACCATATCGGCGAACCGGTGCATATACATATATATAATGTACATAGACATACATATATATATCACACGTAGTATGGCGCTGTTGTAAAACATATCTCTAGCAAGGCCGCTTTTTTCGCCACTTATTTGCCTTCCCTCGGCGTTGCCAAGGCCGTAGCCTCTTGTTCAGTCCGCTAAAGTCGTTCCCGGCTATGATTGAGTCCTAATGTTCGCCTTGGTTTTCAGCGCATGAGGACGGTAAAAAAAAGTTCGAATTCAAGTCTTTGTGCTTGTAGGTGGGGCGTTGCCGAACCTATTCTTGTCTAGTTGCAAGTTCGATTTTTCTTGTTCCCGTTTAAGTTGCCGCCAACTCGAATATCGCCTGCGTGCAAGCCCGACATCAGGGTGTATTCTACTCGTGGCATAATAGAAACACGCGATGACCTTTGCGTTCTTCTCGTTTACTGCGTGTGTGACGCTGTTCTAGTCTGCGTGCTCACGCACGTGTGCAATCTTTCCCCAAAACGGTGATCCGTTCAACAAGAAGGGGATAGACCGCCGTTACGACGACAGCTTCTGATGCCCTGTTTCGTTATCTCCTCATGCTTGGCTAGGCGCCCTTAGCAGCATAAGAGCAGCACCTACAACAAGCTGCACCAGCCGCAACTGCCTATCCGGCTCACCGGGCATAGTACTGCAGAGTACGGGTCGTAATAGAGGTAAACAAGCATCAACGTCTGCGTCTGGGACTCCAGGCCCAACGCTAATAGCCACGAGGGCGGCCGCGGCAGGGGGCAAATGATTGCCACAATCGTACGGTACCATCCCAACCAGAGATGCATCCAACCCGACTGTGTTAGCTGAGAGCAAAGGCTTCCGTACTAGCTGTGACAGTTATTATAGAGGCTACTTGCTTCAGGTAGCCATAGATATATTGGCTAGCTGGCATAACACGATAATGAGCTGGTTGACTATTCTGAGCGTATCAAGCAACATAGTGTGTCGAGAAGATCATAGTCACAACGGGGTATCTGGTATATGACGAGACTGAAGTGACTTATAATAACACTATTATGTAATCGCATTTGATTATCCTGATCACTCGAGCGTAGGAGGTGCTTCTTCTGTGAATTTATTCAGGTGATATGAAGATCGTCTGAGCGTTAATCGGGTGCATATTGAGCAATGCATCCAGCAAATATACGCTAGGCATCGAATCAATGTACATATGAACCTAAAATGCGATCGACTTCCTCGTTCGTCCTTGTGTAATATACAATTTTTTTGTGACCTAGACTATAATTATCGGACGATAAATTTCTTTTTGAGAGTATATAGTTTTTACGTTTCTCTAAATTGGCATAGGCAATGAGGCAGAGAATTTCACTTTAGCTGTAATCGTACTAACCAAATATCTCTTCTATATGATCAGGCGATAATACGCTTGCTTACCACTCAAAAGAACGATTTCAACGTAGCGAGATCTTTGAGAGTTGTGACCTATTCACTACACTTAGCTGATTGAGTCGCTTAAGACGAGTACGGTATATGGCAAACGTTTAGTTCTCTAATCAAGTTGAAGTTTAAAGTACAAATGGCAGCACCGGGAGAACCCAGGTTTCCCCAGTCCCAGTTTGTTTCTTTAATTACATTATATATTCGACTGGTGTCGGACACGACCAGTTTCATTGGAACATTTTTCATTTCGAATTTTTCATTTTGAAAAGTTCGTTCTCTATACGATTTTCGTCATAATTCCATTATGGTCAAAAAATTTTGACCAAAGTTCGAATTCCACGATGAAAGTAGATTTTGAGAGGCAAAAATAGTATTGTAGGCGCTCCCCACTCGCCTTTGACGAAGGCCAGGAAGTTTCTGAGGCAACTTGGGAGAAATGTGGCGCTCCTGGACCTCCTACAATCGTACATCTCTTCGTTATCTATAGACGTTCACCGCTCGTGGAACAAATATTCTGGGTTACTTGCGAGCGCCATTTTTATTACTGTAAATTAACATGAAATAAAGCTGGCTCCGAAAACGCTGTTTTTTGTCGCAATCGAAGGGAGAAGCGAAAAAATCAGCAAAACACGCACATCACTTTCGTACCGATTTAATACTATGATATACAACAAGTAACATAGAAGGTCAATATAAATCTAACGATCATTCGTTTAGAACTTACATTTAGGAACAGGCGCACTCCAACGTTCATTCTCCTGGCATACGACTATGCCCGTGCCGATCATCATGAAATCGGCATTACACGAGAACTGTATAAGGTCCCCACCGCGAAATACTCGTGCCTCACCAGTTCCTGTTTCAGGACCGGCCCCAAGAATATATCCATCCTCAGGTGGTTCCAAAGGTTGACATGAAACCGATTGACAGTGAGGTATATCCGCTGACCAAAAACCGCTTTCTAAGCATTCCGCCTCGAACTCGCCCCGCAGTCCGTAGCCCTGTGGACAGCTGAACGTCGCCTTGGCGCCTACCGCGTTACTGAGCACATCGATAATGAGCAGGTCCGAGTCCAACTTCGATAGGTCACGGCACTCAGTCACTGTGCAAGGGACAGCAACTACCACACGTCAGGATATCAGCGTGGGGGGCTAGCATTTGCCTAATAACGCGTAACCTTAACCACATTTAGGTGCGCAAATGCACTTTAACTCTACCTATTAGCAATGTCTAATTTGTTGCTGTTCGAATGATGCGCAGTGGCTACCTACAGCTTTGCCTAAGATTATATTTTGCTATGCCCAAAATTTAGGTTTAGCGTCGACACTCGATTCTGAAATATTTAATTACACCGGTCCATAATAAGTTAACTCTGCGCATCTACAGTGGTAGTCTACTTAACTATGGACACATACAGTCGTTCTACGGACATTTGAGATAACTTGATCCGATATAAATAAGTAAAAAAAGTCATTAATATCCACGATTATACAAAGTAACTCGGCCTTGGCCAACAAACATAAAGCTTGCAGTATCTAAATTACATTGCTGCCTGGAGATTTTGAGCATCTCGTCCGCCCTAATGCTGATGCTAGCTTTCGCAGCATCTCCGCAGTTATTGCAACGAATTCCTTGCCCTTTGCCCCCTGTACTAACTCCGCTTCTAAGCGGTCGCCATTTCGTCCGATTATTTCCCCTAGGGACCTAGTACGAAAGACCCAATCTTTACGAGCCAGTTACAGCGCTACGATTTTAATTATTTCTGACTAGGAAAGCTTGCTGTGGATCTGACAGGCCCAGACAGGACAATCCCGCCTTAACTAATCTCAGTGGTTATTGACTACCGGTAGTGTTGCGACCATTTTCTTGGTCACAATTTTTTCTGCGGGAACATCAGCAAAAGCTACAAGTATTTAGGTAGGTCCATAGAAAGCTAGATACTAAATATCCGCTTGTATTTACAGAGACTAACAGAGAAAAATCGTTTCCAGCTCAGTAATCCATGTTGATCTAATGTTGTATAAATGGTATTATCTTACCTTTGCAATAGGGTACGTCGGATGACCATCGACCCGACGGTAGACACTCGATTTCAGCTTCACCCGCTAGGTTTTGCCCTTCAGGACAGCTGAATGCTACAACAGCACCCATTCGAGTATCGTTCTGGCTAACAAGAAGTGTTCCGACCGTTGAGAACCCAGATGATGCCAGCGGAGGAGACTCGTTGGAGCCATTGAAGAGAGAAGGGCATGTTACCGCTGTAAGAATGATACAACCCCCAACGAGAGGTACAAAAAAATTTATTAGGATGTCAAAGTCTGACAGACATACGCGTTATTCTGTGCAGACTTTGACAAGATAAGGAGTTATTTCCAGTACCTTAGCTTAGCCGTTTGAAGTTAATTAATGAAACGATGACATCTGTATACATTATATGTGGAATGACACCACATTGCTAAGTGACTAGCCCTGATTGAAGCCCACACAAATTCGGCAACATCCTTTCTTCGGCCCACATGGTTTATTCCATTGGCGTTCTCGATCTGCTGTACAGCTCAATTGGCCGCACAGGCCACCGTGCGTTTAATATCTACGAAGAACGTGGTCATACAGAATGGCGTAGTTTACTGATCAGGAAGAGGTAAATGTAGCCGCTGCGTTTGGCTAATATATAATAAATTTGGCATACATCGTTATCGGCTAGCGTCAATCGTGAACACTGAGTCTACCTAGGTTTGGCTGCGTCATCTTAAACGCAGCGAACCTGCGACAACGATGCCCTTGACACCAGTTAGGCTCTTTACCGTTGCCGGTGTGATTCGTGCCTCGGACTAAACGCTAGTCGTCATTAATTGGCGATGTAGGTCAATTCCTGACGGACAGTTGACTCGGACACGCCCGCCGCCACTGCCGCACTGTGTGGCCCCCTAGATGTAGCTTTAGGTGGTAAAACTACCTGCAAAACAGGTATATGAAACATTTTCAAAGCGAGAGGGCGGAGGTGGGGAAAAACTGCCGAGCAGATTGAACTTCGGTGTTAGGAACCTTACAACAAATCCAAGAGGGAACACTTAGCTTTTTAATTGCGACAGGGGAGAACAACGTCTATTTCATCTCGAAGATTATTCGAGGATAGTATTTCTACATCTTATCTGGCGAAAGACGTTTGAGCGTTGCGAAGGTGCGATTCAATGTTACATTTATTTGAAACGCAAGCGAAAAGCTGTCAAGTATTCAGAGTGCCTTAAGCGTACGATGCATTTTGATCCAGCGACCTTACCGCTGTTCTAGTTCAGGGTTTGGCAGCAAACAGCCAGCCAGCCAGCCAGTCACGGCACCTATCTTCTGCATTGTACCTTATATGCGTGTACCATATCAAATTGCTTTACTTTCTTTTACCAGCCCATTCGTCCTCTCTTCAACCCTAAATTCCGTATAGAACCAATCATAATCCTATAGGCTTAGGTTGAAAAGGCCCGAAAAAAGCGTGCCTAATCTTATTATCGCTAATCCAGTCAACGACCCGATCGGACTTACGTCAAGGTAAACCAACAGGCTCTACGCGTCGCGGCATCAGGAGGCTGAAACCATTTACATGTTTTGTGAGACGGTTGTTTGTCTGTGGCAATCACTGCCCGATGTTGAAAGGTCTGCCAAAAAGATCGTGCTTGTCCTAAGCAGAGTCAATAGAACAAATAGAGGCACACTAAGTTAAACGACTGACACAATTTAAATCGCTATTTACAGCTCTTTATGCGAAGATACATTAATTGAATACAGTGGATTGTACGTTAAACTGAATCTGGTCAGGTGATCCCTGTGTATAACTCGCTGATTTTTCCAATACTCGCGATGCGACAATGAACCCTGCAAGCGTAATTAACGTATAACGCCTCCGAGGGCTAATATGATTTATTGCAAAAATAAATTACAATCTGATAGGTGTTCATGGTAATATGGCACGCTTTGGCCGTAAAGGCAGGATTATGGGACTTAGTGTCAGGTGAGCTCCAGCGATGTCATTTGGTAAGTCGATCGGATTGCTGCCAAATATTACCCACTAATATTCATCGCTATCTTATTATTTTCAACCGTATAAATAAGTTGGGGTCATTGGTCCAAGCCAAATCTGCTTTGTCGTTGATAGTGTTCGCAAAATTCCTGACGATCGGATCCATATTGCAAAAACTCCGTAAAAATTACTATTTTTGCGCCTATTTTTCTCTGCTTTTTCGATGCATAATTTCAGTCTGTGGTGCACAGTTGCCTAAATATGGGTACGCGGCCCTTCTTTTCAAAGAACTTAAAACGGGTTGACGCCGGAGCAAATAGTCCAGTAATGTTACCGTATACAATTTCGAGCCCTTAGTTAGCTGTTCAGATTATGGAGCGGTGGCCGTTTGTCCGTCTTCCAAGAGCCAACGCTGTAAAAGTACTGTTACAAAATAGAATGTTGTCGTCTGTTTGTCAGTACGACATAACGGTGAGAGCGAACGCGTGACGCGGACCACCATTAAAACTCGCACCTGGTTTTGTTGTACTCGAAAACACTGAGCTATTGAACCTTCGAATTGTCCGGCTCAGTCTGTCCACTTAGCATACAATAGGCTACGCAGTACGCAGGATCTTTTTTTTAGGAATAGAATCTTCTGCTCCGCACGACGTTGTTGCAGCACCAAAACGAGATCTAACAGGAACAGCGTGTTGGTTTGCCATGGCCGATTTTTGTGTGCTTATTGACTCCAGGATACCGACCATTTCCTTTATTTAGGTTGCTTTTGCTTCAGCTTCAGTAACACAGGCTCCGACCAAACACATTCGGATCGAATGAGTGGCATTGGGACACTCGTTGCTAAGTAAGTTAGTCGCTAATACTTATTCATAGCCAGGCGACTGCATAGCACCGAGCGTGGCGTTTGTGTGGGGGTTCGTATCGTGAAAAGTCAGGGGTAGAAAAAGAAATCTGTATGTACTTTGTCCTGTTGCATACAATTTATGTTCGTTTATTGTAGCTGTCTATGTCTGATTCCTGCTCAGCGTCCTACCCCCTGTTGGCCTGCTGGATCAATGCTTGCTGCGGAAGTGGCACAGATAAATTTGGGACGTTTCGCACAGAGCATTAGAGAAGTCGACTGGGAGAGTTCTTTGCAAGCTGCTTTCCATTCGAGGTGCATATCTACGTTCGTTGCGTTCAACTAACAGCGACTACAGCGTGCGGTCAGATAGGAGAAAGTTCACTTTTCCCTTCACAAATGGAGCTTTCTTATCAAAGTCTCTTACACATAGCTCAGCAATAGCAGACTCTGCGCCAAGTACTCAACATTGGGTTCATGTTATGGGGCTCTTGCTGAGAAGCCCGTTTGCCGATGTTGCCAACATCGCAAATTGACGCCCCACCGACTCGGGGTATTGTCCACCTTCCCTATTCCCTCTAGGCGTATTTTTTTTACAAGGAAAAATCAGCGCCCACTCAAGCGTCCTTCTTCGCTTGGCAGAGCTCTCCTGTTAGTTTTCTAAAAGCTTCTATTTCATGTTTGGCAAAGCAATGTTTTTCAGTTGATGAAAATATTCAAACGCTTGCGCAGGTACGAGTAATAAAGCATATTTATGTCCAAACAGAAGAGCGGCTATATATCCGGTAAAATGAGGAAATACTGTATCTACCCAGGTGTATATTTTTGGGTTGCGGGCCCTCACGAATAACTTCATGAAGATGTGTTACTATATTCGAGCGATTCGATGCTGCTGACGAAAAGATACCGTTGATACATAATCTAACGAACGTTAAAGCCATATATTTGCATGGATTTATCGCTTGGAATCTATTCGTCCTTCTTTATATTTCATACGGAGGCCTGTGAATGTAAGCTAAAGAGCTACTCGTAGTTGGGCTTGTGGCATGATTCGTATGTTTTGCGCGTTCAAATGGGTCATTTTACGGTTGTCGTAGTTCTTTTTCGGCCAGACGAAAACGCCATCGAGCAGCATAAAGTACGTTTTATACTAAAAAAGGAATTATGTACCACTGTTTGCTACGAACACTGCAAAAACCTCAGGTACCTACGCTATGACTCAGCGCCGGGTGTACAAACAGTATTAATGGTTTTGGGATGGAAGCGTTTACTTTGGGCGGTCTGTCATAGCAAATACGGACAAAAAATTAGAAATAGAAAAGTAAAAGGCAAACTCGTTTTTAGTGTAATTTCCCACTGCAAAAGAACTATGCATCATAAGCTTGTGCAGTTTATGCTGGGTTCCGTTGTAATTAGGGTAACGCTGTAAATTCCCAAAAAGTTTTAAATAGAATACGCAATGTCCTCCTGCAAAACGAGACTGAACTCTGGAAGAGAAAAATCATCATTATAATAATGCACCGTCTCACAAATCGTCATCTTTATAACGTTTTTTTTTCTGTTGTTGAAAAAGTACTACGTACTACTTACTTTCCGTGTGTATGAATTCTAGCCCCTATAACTTTTTTTCTATAACTTTTTTCTACTCACTAAAGTTCAACATCCAGCAAGAAAAAGCATTGTAGATGTCGGGGGAGCAGTGCGCAGCAGAGGTTTACGATTAAGTTGAAGAACTGCTTCAAAGATTAGAAAAATTGTTCTACAGATACATTGCGTGGGGCAGCATTTGGAACCTAAATACCTTAGCAGTGAAATTTTATTAGAGAGACAGACTATTGATCATTTATTAAACCGGTTCTATATTGTTATACCTTAGACGCTAAATCATTTGCTTCACACCATTTGAAAGGCGTCCTAAGACGTAAATGTACCTTATTCATTCATTTCAGGCCCAGTGGTTTAATGTCACCCGTGTGAACGGGGGTGCATGGAAGGAAGTCCAGCTAAAAAGTGCGTACCATTCATAGGAAAGTGTTGAGTGTCAATTAACATTAGACGAGGGTACAGAGGGTGGCTATCGCAAAACTCACGCAGGAAATCTTGAACGAACCAGCCATTCTGATGACAAGCATCGTCAATAGTTGTATAAGCAAACTTCACAACATGGGAACAGAAACGCCAAGCACAAACAACGACTGGTATCATTGACCGATCATTTTATGAACCGTTATGGTACCACTGCCTCAAATATGTACTGCGGTAGCTCAATGTGCCACAGTAAAAATCTCTGCCAAAAAAACGAACCTATCGGGGAAAGCTAGCACTATAACAAGAACTTGAACTGTTCGATTAATAATAAACAAACACTAGGATAATTTGCATCGTTCGACAAAAGCAACAGAAACAATTAGTAACAAAAGCAATAGCTTAGAAACATGTTTTACTAGTGGGCTATAAAACTCTCATAGATTTCTATGACCTGTTAGAAGAAAGGGAGAGATCTAACTTGTAACTAACCATCAGTGAAGGGTTACACATAATCATATATACAGTATAATAATATTACACTCTCAATATAGTGGTATAGAAACTTAATTTGTATGCCCTTCGTTTTCAAAAAGCCACAAGTATGTTGAGTTAGATGCTGAGCATATAGTAGTAAACTATTAGTAAAAAAAAATGTATTTCAGACCAACTTACATTTAACAACGATTTCAACGGTATGCTTGTGCCCCATTGGGGTGACGCATGTGTAGCGTCCAGAGTCGTCTTCACGAGCATGGTAGATAGATAAGCGATACTCAAGCTGTGAATCTCGACCCGGCTCCGTGGTCCATCCCTCCGCATACCGACGGTTTTGATGACTGATCTGCAAACCAGAGATGGCCGTAACGCTAATTATTTTGTCATTCCAAAACACTGTGTCATAACGCTATTTTTCCAAATGTCCGCCTATTGAAAAAGCGGATACGCATCAACAGTGGGGAAGATTTGCCTCGTCTAATCGAATCTCTTTCGTATTCCCCCTTTGTTAAAATAAATATCAGTGACTCTTCACATGGCGACATCGTCAGAAAGCAGCGCCACGCAACCGCCACAAAGACAACTCGCATGACTAGAGAGCTACTTAAGTGAAAAGATGAAAAAAAAAAAATAGATTATTTTCCGAAGCAGGATAAGGCAAAACTCGTGCAAAGGCCGAATGAGTACCCATAAGGACAACGAGGTGCATTTGGCAGAAGTCAGAGTTATCTCATCGTAGATCTTCCGTGTGTCTGCGGCGCTGGGATTGCTGCGGGCATCTATGCTTTATCAACTGTGTTTTACACAACGTTTGACGAACGCAAATTTCTAAGAGATCTCTATCAAGCAGAGTATGTATAAATAGCTAATATTAAAGAGCAAAAAGCATCGTGTCTCTTCGTAGCAGTGTGAGTGAGAAACGCCAGATGCAGGAAGGACGAATGTTTTTGCCTGGATGTCTCCGTATCGACGTTGTTCTATACATAAACGTAACCATTCGTCGAATACCATGCGCATTTGCCATTTTGGCCTGAAATTACTATTTAGTTATCCTTCTTTATGTATGTTTTCTCTCAGAAACAGAAATCACGAACCCCTGCCATCGCTGAAAATTTTCGCTACCGTCTGCGCTTTAAGGCGTACCATTTGTGAATTCGATTCAGCGGGCCCCAAGATATGCCATGAACCCAGTGACTGGACATTTGGGTGTTTTGGGGCCGTAGCGTATCAACTGTGTACAACAAAAAGTCTTGGCTTTTGTTGCCAATATCCAGAGCCTGAACGAGGCTCGCACCGAAGCCCAATGCTTGTTAATATAATAATAATACTAGTTAACATACTTCTCCGACAATGCGTATATGTTCTAGTTCGGCTAACTTCATGAAGTGTTGCAAATAGCAAATTTCACCAATGGACGCCGAAACGACAACTACGTTGTCAAGGGCCTTGATTGTTAGACTGTTCAACAACATTCAGCCTAGTTGACAACATTAAAGGAATTCATGTCGTAAGAGTATTTACGACAAGACTCGTCGATATGAGCGGTAACGAACGCTTGAATTAAGACGGATCGAGTGCAAAAAAAAGTGACCCAAATTGAGTAGAGGTACCTTTTCCGAGCCTAATAGGATCCATCTCTATAGGCCTATCTGTAAAATCATTTGATAAGTATAGGTATGAGTTCTGTATCTGTGTTATCGATAGTAGTCACTTAATAATTATTTACTTAGATAATAAATGAATGTGTATTGTCAATAGCAGGTCATAAAGACTAAACTAATTAGTCCTTAATAACTACTCTTTGTCGGCGCATATCAGGTACAGCAATATACGGGAAGTGTAAATCTAAAGGCCCTATTCTTTATTATGGGCCTATGGCTAAATATCATTGAAAAAAAAAAAAAACATTTCAATAAGTTGAAATCTTATTTGTGCGTTACTAAGTTCATATGGACCTTTTGTTAGATGCTGAGTAGATATACTTCCACTTATCATAGATACATTTATTTATAGTTTGGTGGGTAAAATCACTTTCTTATTTATTTGACCGATCAAAGAGCTCAGCGCCGTAGCAGTGTTAATCACTGAAAGCTCTGACTGCAATTTACTGATAACAATAGCTGGAGGAAACCCTATTTTCGTTGGGATATTTATTTTCACAATGGATTAGGGAGGAGATGTAAAATTCAGAGCGACTTCACAGAGGGAGCAAAATGCGAACCTATTGAAACGTGTTTTGGAAATACTGTCACTTTGAAAATTGGCTCAAAGGTTCTCTTTGGCTTTAATTTTTCGAAGAGCGTATTTATAGATTACAATTTGATGATATTTTAAGTGGCCTTACTTTATTTTGGCTGTATTTATACTGGCTGAGTTAGTATATCTTGTTACTGAATCGGCTCATAGGTCAGCAGCTCTGACGTCAGTTGCGATTTACGTAAGGGGCAATATCAGTCGCTTAGGTCCATGATATCAACGCCCACTATACATAAGTACAGAACCTTGATAGGTAACTAGATTATATATTCACGGCAAATTGGAGAAAATACTTATTCATTGGCTATTGCAATGATTCTTCAAATCAGATTGTTTTCAAATTACTCGTTTCGCCATCTTCTGACAGGGCCGCCCTGATAGCTTAATATTTTTGTCTTGGAATGTCAGATTCCGACTTGAGCGTTCATGGTTGTTGACCAACATGCAGACATGCAGAGGTTCGGGCGGGCCTTCAATACAATGGTGATTGCACAATTATGTACAGCAAATAATTTTCGATGTACATATTGGCTAGAAATAGTTAGATAGCACTTACCTCCCATTTTGGTGTCCCATATTTTCGTAACCATAGACACTCGAGATGCAGGATAGTGCCTTCCCAGACAATGAGCTTTCCATCTGTGCTTTGAGCAACAGGCCCCATTGAGTGACGAAACAGGATTGTCGGCGGCTTCTCCACTGTTCAATTAGTAATGGATCCTTGTTATGTTCAATTGAATGAGTGACTGCGTGTATCATACAACATAACAGACGTTCTCCTTAATAATTTAAATGTAAAAATTAAAGTTAATTTTTTAACTTACATCAACAAATATTATTAAACATAAACATCTATTGTTACTGTTTATGTCACTGTATATACATTCGTACTAAATGTTTACCCAAGGTCATACAGAACTATTAGTTCCAAACATTAGCGGGACTTGGTTTACCTCGCAGAAAACCTGACGCGGTCATCAGCGCCGCAAATTCTGTTCTGACATCAAGCTATTTAGCAGGTGACTTACGTGCATAGTCGTGTTCCTGGCTGAGACCTATGCAGGAACTCTTCACGCCCGTCCATTCACCGTACTCACACGTCCTGCTTCCGCTGCCTATCAGCGCGTATTTACCAATATCCGCACAGCGGAACGTCAGTAACGAGCCGGGGGTAAATTCATGCACTTCATCAGTTGCCAGCGGAAGATCACCGTCGAATGCCAACAAATGCTGCTCGGACGGTTGATAGTAACACGACATATTGGCTCGAAGCTCTTTTGGAACGGCAGAGTTCCCTAAGTCTACGAGCGTAGTAGGACGAGGCATGTCCACACCAAGTCGATATCCACGTCGTAGACAAAATATAACACAGACACAACATACAAAGGAAGTAGACAAAATTTCCCGTTCAAGTAATTCGATGACACAGTAAAGCTTTCGAAGTAGGGCGCTACCTACCCCAATTGACCTATAGCACTGTCTACCGATAAACCATCCACCGCTCTTGCTTGAGCAATCGACATGAGAGAACATCGGCAACGACAGCAGTTACAACAACAGAAACAGTGACCAAGGCGGCAGTAGATGATTCCTCACCACAACGAAATCTGAGACGATATCATCATGGGTGCCTCACTGTGCTTGGCTCAAGAAACTGAATGCTTTCAGAGGGTCAAAATAACGTGACGTCGTGAGAGAGCTCTATTCAGAAAACGATTTTCATTTATTTCATTCATTCAGCCCAGACCAGCCCAGACCAGCTCAGCCCAGCCCAGTCGATACGTTCGTTTTCCTCTTACTCTGCCTTTCCTCAGTGTCGCTTCGTATATTCCCAATGTGCAACGAGCGCCGAAATCTGTCAACAAGCGAACGGGGACGAGTACCATGTTTCAATCGAGCGTCACCATATGTGCGCAACAAAAGGAAAGAGGATGGTACAGGGACGAAGAAAACGGCAAGCACGCGACCTTCGGGCCGCTCGTCACCGCCAAAAAAGGCAGTGAATGTACGATCCTCTCTGAAGGAGCCCCACGCATCGCCCGTTAACACAACGCGATTTTCCTCATTTTTTTCTAGTTTTACCCGAACCTTTCGTGCCTCTGTCTCAATTTTACTTACAACTCCGGCTAGACCCGAGGGCGGACGACACTATTTCCTTTCCAGACTGCCTCGTTGTGACTTTTTTCATCGTAAGTCCGTTATTGTGAATCAGCCGCTACTACGAACCGCATTAAATTGCTTCTACTTGTGCAACTCTCTGTATTACTATTGCCATCAGTGCTGCTGTTGCTAAAGGCTTTGACTGCGTAGCAAGCCTATGTTGAGGTTCCGCCACCAGGCGCATGTACGTATACAGGCCCCTAGCTTTCGACAGCTGCGGCTTGTAGCTAGTGGCAGTCAGAAGTGGGAAAATTGTCTTGAGGCGCTAGGGCGGTTTCACGATTTATTGGGACCTTTTTGATCAAAATCAACATTGCGGAGAAACATACAATACCAAAAAACAAATAGAAACCAACCGGGTAGGAAACGAATGCGTGCATATGAGCGAATCTCTAGGTCCATCAGAAGCAATAGATCCAATCAAATGGCTGTGTCGGAAGGTTTTCATTGTCGTCCATCGTAAATCTTTCACATCAGGATGAATGAACATTATCAAGGACGTAAAAAAAAAACTACAGATTTTCATTCCATGAATTTTTACATTGCCAGAAATGGAAGCGGAAGCAATATGACCAGTTATTATTATATTACAGACTACTAACGTCTGGCTTACGTCACGACTGCCATTATTTCGAACACAAACCACATTGGCGTATGAACACTAATCTTAATAAGCTCATGTATAATATTAACCTGATGTAAGTCCACTTTGTCTTCATTTTTTTTTAATTTAACATTCATAAATGGGCAATCGGCCCAAGCCATTCAATGTTATGTTCCTTGCTTTTATGTCTACTCAAAAAAAAAACAACCGACTGTACCTAGATCAGAGCTGGTGCTTTGTCAACCGTTAGCATCCCGCAACGGCATTCCGTCAAACGGTGCACTATGATACTAGCAGTTGTCTCTAAGGCATTTTAATTCAAAATTAATCTACCGGACATATATTAATTCGTCGCTGTTGGACAATGTACCGTAGCGTAAAGCATTGTTCATACCGCATTTTTCTGGTCGGCCAATCCAGTTACCATCGTCGCAGAGTAGTTTCCAAGTGTTTCGTTCACCGCCGGGAGAAGCTTCGATGCAATCGAATACTACCTCGGTACCGTGGGGGAACTGAAGCGTACCAACGTAGTCCGAGTCTGACGGGGCCAGGTATGGTGACTCGGTCGGCGATGAGAGTTCCGTCTGAAAAAACAGCAAGAAAAGACAAGCAAATGACAAAATGAAGATCCGACTTGACGCAAAGCATTGTGTATACGATAAGATAGATAAGGAATCATACTAATGGATGATGATGAGAGAATTCAGCGACGCTTCGAAGGTCTGGAATGAAGCGAAATTTAACAAAACTTTAACCCGGTATTTTCGTAAATATTATACAACTAATTGATTTATGAATTCTTCTTTCTGACATTGTTTCACGTCGTACCCGTGTTTTTACTTTTTTTTTTTTTTATTATTTTACTTCTCGAGTGGGGGGTAGAAGTCGCAGCAACTGTAGGTTAGTTTGTAAATAAATTCTGCTACGTAAGAGCCTATTTATAATAAAGATACATATGCTACGTGTTGTGGTTATGACACAATGGTAATAATATACATTTAAGTAGAATCGTATATTAAATTATATCGGTCGCCGATAATTATTTACGATCCACTGAGTCATTGATTCTACCACAATTGGATGGTATTCATTTGAACGATCTGCTGGCGAGACATTGTCAGTAACCGCCAAGAAAGGCGAACACGTTTTTTATCTCAATGCCGTTCGCACAGAAGGAGCAATTTATATCAAAAGGCAAATACCCTCACTAATCTAGCTCGCTTTACTTCCAGGTTTTTCTTCATGTGACGACTGAAGATTTTCTATGGAAAGTAGCGGCGTCTGGTACGGAACGAAAGGGGACTGCTGCACAGACTTGTACATAACCTGTACATCCATTTATGGCTTCCTTTCGCCCGGCGGAAGCTGCAACGCCATTAATGTATGGGAAAGGAAGAAAACAAGATCTGGGCGACTTCTTTTCTGCCACAATTTAATTGGTACAAATGAGTTTTTGCGTTGATTAAGAGAGAGCATCTAGGCTTCCATCAAACTTGTGGATATATGCTATTTTGGAGACTATGAGATTAGGAGCTATGTGTTCGGTCACTCATATCATTCAAGCCATGATAGGGTAAATTCAAGTGGTAACCCGCTTTACCAGCGGGTCGTGTAAATGGGTTAATCCCCTGACCTTAAATGCCGAAAAAAACTGGCTAGCAAAAAGTCTCTCTGATATTCTATATATATGGAGGTTCCATTTCCTGCATACAATAGCAGTTAGAAAAATAGATAAAAAACAACCTGAAAATGATTCAAGTTCAGCGACACAAAAAGTTCTTCAAGCTATACATTAACGTTCTCATCCTTTCACGCGGATATTTTCAATGCGGCACATTTTTAACACGGTAAATAAAGTGTCATACAATCAGAGTACATATTAGCTTTGTGTTTCACATTGTCGCCATTTTGCCACGTTTTGTTGACCAGCCGTCAAGGTGTCGTCAACTTTACACTAAAAAGGTGATAAGTCACATCTACAGGCCGGGCCTGCCGTCCACCGTTGGCTCGTTTACAGCAATAAAGCAGTGATTACAACTCGGCAAAAAAGATAAAATCCTGAAGACGGCGACTGCAATGCTTAGAAAACACGACAACGAAACGTCAACCGTTTCTTTTCTGGATAGACCGTATTTGCCTCTTGACGCCAGTGGTAACGCAACTTTCTGAAACCATCTAAAAGGTACAACCATAACCTTGGCCATCCAGTACTAAAGAAGAAGGGTAGCGTGCGAAATAGACGCACCCCAAAGAAAGTTGGCAAGTATGTTTGAAAACAAATCACGGTCCTATATCCAGATGACGGCTGGGCCATAACCGTCGCATATTTTGGAAGGGCAAAAATCGTCGCCTCAGACTATAATATCCCTCTATACTGGCAAGGTGTCAAAAGGCGCTCTGCTGATAAACTCGATAAAAACAACGAATAGAGACTTACTTGAGTTGCAAAAAAAATCGAAGAAACGAGGGTCCGCAACGAAGCAGACGTCAAAAGCGGAATGAACGAAGGAATTGATGGTGACGTTTTGGTTTGTACTGGGCGCGCAGGTGGTAATCGGCGTATACATTTCGAGGCTTTCGTGGTGGAAATTACATTGTACAACTGGAACTAGTAACTAGTAGCACGAATACTGCTGAACTATATGATCTTCTTGTTATGACATTTGAAGGGTGTTTGAAGTAACTACTTTGATATATACATGTATATATATATATATATATACGGGAATCGCCGAGGTCATGATGTGAACATTTCGAATATTTTCAGATCGCCCAGATTTCGACTCCTGTATAACATGGCGGAAGCTCTTGTGGATTTACGCTTTAAAAAATAGAACCCAAATTTTTATATATATACATCGAAGAAGTTTGCACATTTAAGCCATTTTGATGCCCAGAAAAGAGATAATGCAAACAAGAGGATCCAAACAACGAGGCATGATCCGAAATATTTGATTTAACACTCTTTTTACACCTCAACTGTACATACTTCTCTAAAATCCATTTTAAAGAGCTAATTAGAGTTTTTCTACGATACCTACATTTGTACCAGAATTTAGATCGTTGTTTAGCATCATGGGTTTACTATAAGCAGAAACCTTATTTGCGCATAAACAAACTGTCATACATAAAATAATAACTATTTGAAAGAAACAAAAATCGAGATTAACAGCCAATCGTATACAGGAAATGTCTATAGGTTTGTCATTAGGCACAAGTGTAACATCGCCTTAAACAAGCGCTGTCACTTTTCAATGTACCAACGTTTTGATATTTTCTATATCGCATTTCTACAAAGAAAGCAAAACAAAGACTAAAGAGAGTGAAAGAAAAGAGGACGAAAATGTTGCTTGACATTTTGTTGTTATTGTTGTTGTCGACTGTCGTCCTTTCAATTCAAAGTTAGCTGTCGTACAAGTTAACTCAGATCGAAAGGTTCGTGGATACTTTTACGGTAAAATGCATTTACTGTCCCGTACTGTGGTTAAGGAAAGCCATGCCGACTTGCGCAAACAATTCACAGACCTATGTAGTAATGGTGCGTCTGAAGAATCACTTCGGATTAGATCTTATTCAAACGACAGTGTTATAGTACATGACTAGACGTGTGTCACATCGTTTTGCTTGTGTCAGAGGCTCATTTGCACAGGGGTGGAAAGGTTAGACTACAACTTGAGATTCAGATTCTTAAAACCAAATTAATTATAAGAGATACGATAGTAATATTACTTGTCAGCAAAAAAATTCACCCTCCTATTGACAAGCTCGTTGAACAAGCAGCTGTAGTTATTACGTTTACCGTTTGTGCTACGCTATCGTAAAGTTACTGAAACACTTCTGATTCGCCATAGAGATAGAGATTTTTTTAGTTATCAATCAAACAATCCGTATTGCGCTGTGCATCTCAGTAGACTTTGTCCGTACTTAACGCAAGTGTTTTGACTATTGCCCTTATTGTTCAAGGTAACTTGCTGTCGTTTAGATAGGACTACATCATCTACAAGGCTAGCGGGTCTTACCACTGCCCGGTAAGCAAAACGTTGTACTCCTTCAAAAGCAAGCAAAGAGACACCCTATAAGTTTCATAGGGCTGTGACGAAATCAAAAGGCAAAGGCAAATTAAACAGCTTTCGCGCGGACAGAGGGACCGTGTAAGCATTGCCGTGGCATGCTTTTTAGGGCAAAACGAGCAATGAGCGAGGTTCCAGAAACAGATTCAAATGATGTTCGACCAATACGGGATGAGCCGCGGAGTTAAGCGTTTTCTTGAGCTGGGACAAAACAATATTATATGAGAGCATGTTTAAAATTGTTTTTATACGTGTGTGTGTGTGTGTGTGTGTGTGTGTAGGTGTAGGTGTAGGTGTTTATTTTATCAGCGAAGCTGAAAGGCATTGTGGATTTAATATGCATTGATGAACAAAGAACCGTATAACAACAAAAGTTATATCTGGTTCGTGGACGACATTCCAAAGCAAGTAATAATGTCACCACAGAGTTGACTACAAAGTACTTATGAATCCCGCTCAGAGATTGGCGGCCATTTTATACTGTAGTGAAATAATTAGTACATTAGTTGCTCGCTTGTACTCCGTAAAATCGTTGCAGTCAACATTATTAAAGCGCCTAGCCCATGGTGGAAGGCCCGTCGCGCTGCCTGAAAGGCTGTGTTAATCCCATTGTTGAGTAAACAAAGCACTCATTGCGTCTGCATCATATACTTAAGAAGCATTCTCGAAAGAGTAATAAAAATACGCAGTACGAAAAGGTTCCGATCCGATTTAATTCAAGTAGGCCGCATGCTCGATTACGTTTCCTTATTTTGGTGGAGGGAAGGGATTTTTTTGGGTTAAACTTCCACAAAAACTGAACGCAGTGTTTCGCGACCTGTGTTTTGCCTTACGGTTGTTTATCAGTGTGTCAGGCCGAAGTGCTTTGCCGTTAACTCGCCTCACCTCTTAACAATGTAGGATTAATACGACATTCTCTCTCATCCTTGTTCGTTCGGCTCGCCCTATCAGGACTTATTTAAAACGGATTTTAGCGCTCGTAGTTTTTCACGCCGTGCAGGTCAACGTCATAATATTTTTACTGCGAAAATTCAGTCGATTTATGGTGTCTCACTCGCCAATATAGCTAATATTCTTCATTATGTATGGAAGCACTCTGCGTCTTGTAACCACCAAAATACATTGGAGTTGACTAAACAGCGTGAAATAGGACGGCACATTACGCCACTGAGTTGCTATGGAGGCGTAAGCCTGCCGAAGTAGGAAATTCTACGCAGGTAGTGATTTTACAAAATACGACCAGATTTTGTTTGCCTTTTTTTTTTAACCATAGGTCAGCATCTTGTCAACATAAACCTAAATCCGTCAGACTCAAACAAATTCAGGTTTTGAACAGTAGTGTATTTATGCATAATGTAGCTGCATACATGTAACCTAGCTTGATATTACCAAGCTATTTTATATGAGTTTTCGATAATTTTCGCCAGCTATTTACTATGAAGGTCTCAAAAAACTAGATAGTCTGGATTTTCTCGGCCAATCGGGGCCTTGTATATGACACTAATATTAATAATCTTAACATTAAAATTTCTGCTTTTTCTTTATTTGATATCTGGTAGATGAGGTTTGATTTTATTGCAAAGTTTGCGTTCGCGTCTTTGGCCAGCGATGTGTAAAGTCGTAAAATGAAATCCGCGGCTTCAATTTCTGCGAGCGGAGCACGTCGTCACACAGAAAACATTTTTCTACCTTCGATTTACGCGTAACGATGTTGTTTATTATGAGTATTAGCTGGTAAAATCATCACCAACGTTTTAAATGGTTTTTTTTTTTTAAATTAGCAGCATGGCCTTGTTTCCATGGTTTTTGTTGATTCTATTCAAGTGCGATAAATCATTGGATGGCTGTATCTCGCTAGTGAATGGCGAAATATTATAAATGTAATCCAAACAAACCACTAAAAAAGCCGATGTGATGACTGTACGTTCGGCTGGGCCAATAAAAGTCTGGGGACTAGTTCGAATTCATTTTTTCATTAGTAAATGCTGCTCTTTCTTTCGGGACGGCTAAATCGCGATTGTGACTATCTCGTTTATTAAACGGAAATAGATATGTTTCCTAGGCGTCCTTTATTCGATCAGTAAGTTTACAAAAGAAACAACCTGGGTCGTCATCGTATCAGCAATACCTACAGCCGGCGAGATCGTAATTGCAGAAGCAGTTTTCAACCCAGCAAGTATTATGCAGGAAAGATCGGCCATGGTCGAGGAAAAATTTTTTAAGACGAACGGCATAACGAAACCATAGCTACAATTTATCACGCTCATCGGTCACGAACGTACAGCATAAGCGTGAAGAATTGATGGCGATCCTAGCTACACTGGAGTATCTGATCCACTGGGCCTTATCTGGGAGTCATCGACAAGCAAGAAAATGCTATCTAGTATTGTTGAATGAAAAACAAATTTCTGAACCGGAACATCTAAAGCCTTTCTTTTTCTAATTTTTCGATGTTATCGTGTCAACGCTCTCCAAGTGTGTCCAAATGGTTTAGTTTTTCCTTTTCAAAAAATTCGTGAAGCCTCTTTGTAACAGATTGCCGTAAACAACAGTATACTTTTGATAACTAAAAAACGGCTAATTAGTATGATAAATCTTCGGTTTTCGCTGCAGGCGTATTGCAGGCATATAGGAGCGTCACATACTGTCAAGTCACTGCTTTAATATTACCCAACTAAATACAAGGTTAACAATTGCAGCTTGAGTCGTTATTGTCTTGTACTTTAGCGTCATCTATCTATTCGTTTCAAATCAATATTATCATTGTTTTTGTTTTGAAGTACGGCGCCATCTTAGTATGTGGCACACGACGATTTTCTTTTCGCGATTCCCCGTCACTGTAAATCGTGAAGGGCAGATTAAGGGCTTTGTAAGCTAACGTACAATGTCGAAATACTAATATAAAGACCATGCTTGTCACCATCGTTCCCATAGCATCCGAAGACCATGCTTTCCAATTCCATATTATGTATTCATACAAAAACTGTGACATAAGCGCCGTTGACGGGATTTGAGTAAACCTTTGGTTCCAATTCCGTATCTGTTCTCGATTTTGTCTCTTTCTTTCTATACGTCTTGGTTATGCCTTCTGTCCGCCAATTTTACTAGGGAATTTGCGTCCAGCGAAAACTCACAAGTGTCAACTTTTACGGAGACGTATATACATTAGCTTCGAAGTTTGATGATTCGAACGTATAGAGGCGTTCCGGTTAAGAATATTTGATTAATCTGGGCTTTGTTGAAACTCTTGTATAAAATCGTATCTCTACGTAAGGGAATTATTTGTTATCTATTTCGTCGACCATTCATAATTGAAATATAAGTATACGAGTAAATTACTGTTAATAGGCCAATTGGAACGCCTTCAAGTTGATTATTCTCACGAAGACTAATGAATGACCTCAATTGAAGAATAGTTAACGCTGCCGTAACCGTATAAAGGTAATATTATAGGTACTTACAGATAATTACGAGAACTATTTTGCCCAAACGCTCGCTAGCGATTACATAAACCAAATATTGAATTAAGTTAATTAAAACTTTGCTTAAAGTTCTTAATCGTTCAAACTCGATGTTACACGGCAGGATAATATAAAAATATGTTTGATGGCGTTTATTAAATCTACAGAAAACATTAAAAGTATCGCAGCGATTTATTGGGGTGTTCGAGATGTCTGTGTGTACGCTGGCTGCAAACGAGCTTAATTTTATTTTATTCTTATTTTATTTAATTCAATGTTACTTCAATATAACCAAAAAACTTAAAAAAAATTACTTCCTAAACCGTGTACCTTGACGAGACTATCTTTAGCTGTTTTCTCCAGATTTTGCTCCGAAGGAAAAACGAGACTCTGGTGGATTCGTTCGGGGGTCGAACAGCTCCGTCTTCCGCTGATGTCACCTGTTCCACGGGCAGCCGCGGCTGCCCATTCGCGGCGACGAAGTAGCTCTTCTGTGGGAACAGGGCGATGAAAATACGTGCCACAGTAAGATTGTCATATCTCTCCCTATTATTCAACGTGCATATGTATTCAAAATACCAAATAATCATACATGAAATCAGACTTAATCTGTTCATTTAGTAGAAAGGGTTCTATTTTTTATGGAGTGTTTCTCATTGACATCTACGGAGGTTAGAAGAACTATAATATTTCCTTAAAATCTGGTCTTGGTCAATGATGTCTGTTTCAACGATCTTGGGCAATAGCTGATTTGAGATCGAACGATTGGTATATTTGGTTTGTGGTCCTTTCGGATTTGATGCGCTGGCTTTACTTACCTTTAATAGCACTACTTTATACAGGTATGATTTTATTGCGTTTTTGCTAAAGGATGCAATATAGTCAAAAAAGTCTCCCCGAGCGCGCCAAAACTATTTTTATACAAATATTTTTGTTGAATGAGCCCTTTACTTCGGCGTGTATCAACTAATTCTGAGACCATGTAGACTGGATGATAATTATGCTAGTACTTGGTCTCAGGATCAACGGAGACAATCTGTCAAACATGACATCGTCATATTTTGGATGGAGCTATACGTTTTTTTATCTATGATGCTGGCATAAATGCTTTAATTAATCGATGCTACGCCCATTATCTTCAACTCGGTCCTAATTTTTGGCCCGTACACAGGACCTACTCGTGTAAGAGAAACTTAAATTGCAGATAGAATTATTCATGAAACCTTCTAAATCTCTTAGTAGAAATCTCCCGAGTGTTGAAAAATGTACGAGCTAAAAATTATTGCTGAGAAAAAACTAGACATAAATGTTTAAATGGCATACTAATTAAATGATTGCAACTAATATGGGATTCGAATTAAAGAATGCTAGAGGTCTGTTTTTACCTCGTCTTATTAAGAAAGCAATTTCTACTGAAGATCTGTTACTGTGCCTCACCTCGACAATCCACAGATTTGATAATATCTCAGTCATTATATCTAATTATGGCCTTTGCTTGCCCGTTGTTACAATCCAGCGTCTTTCAATTTTACGATATGGCCGCCTCGTCATGTCATCTGTACTTATTTTCGTAAGCTCTATTTCAAGTGAGACAACCTATTCATCGGAATGAATTAGGACGCTTAATTGTAAGCAGTGGGCAGGCGACTTTTCTAAGTAAATGTAAGGTCAGACCGCCTTCTTTACCGATTTAATCTCACTATTCCACTGAAAAAGCGGGGGTAGAGTGTCTCAGAGTTATCGGTGAGTCCTTCATGATTTCCTTTCGACCTGGCCCTTTCGAATAGAACATCGACAGCGAAGGCTTGGCGTTCCTGACAAGATGCCAATATCATGCAGAAATCTGCCAAAGAGAACTTTATTAACTCCATTCTCTTGCTACACAACTTAAATCTCACTCTGAACGATCAGGCTCTGGACACAATGGGGGTACCAACTATAACCGGTAAGGATATTCAGCCTGTTAAGGAACCCACAAAGAACGATGGATTTTTAGGAAACAATATGATAAAATAAAAGCAGTAACTGAATGAATATAGGTTAGCAAAAAATTTAGAAAATATTTTTTTTTAAATAATAGTAACAAATTATTACTATTACAAACAAGTTAGTAAATATTGGCATTGAAAATTCATATCACCAAGTATGCAGGAAGTTTTCAGGTTATACGTCTAAAACCGGCGGGTTTTTTCACAGATGAAATTTCGAAACACGCCACTACTTAGAATATTCTAAGTGATTTTGCACGTATATCTTCTACGCTATAATGGATGGAAATAATCAGAGTATATTGCATAGTTTCGTATATTCGGGAATTACGTATGCAATAACAGATCAAGCTTAATTGTGTTGTAATCCCTATGGCTTCGATACCGGCAGATGACTTTGAGTGTACCGCCTGTTTTCCACAAGCTTAATTTTGTTTCGTTTATTCTGGCAGGTTAAAGGCTATTGCGTTATGGAGGCTTTGTACCTTTTGGCCTTGAGTCAGAACTGATGTTTAGATAGAACGGTTACAATCCACGGTACCTCTTCCTAGATCGCCGAGATGCAGACAAACTGGAGGACCGGGTACGAGCTGTCCTTCCGAACATTTGATTGGTTTACTTGGTGAATTCTTGAGAAATTCAATCTCACAATCGAATTCAACGGATGACCCGTGCGAAAGTGATTCACCTGCTCTCAGGCCACCTAGGTAGTAGCCATTCTCTAACACTGGAAGCTCACACGGCTCTATATACAAAACATATTGATGCAATGGTTAGTGCACGATAATTTCTTTTGACGGTAATTCATAATTGCAGTGGTTTAGACGGCTAAGCTTCTGCCTAGAAAACACGAATGGAAGTGGCTAAGACCTTGGAATGTTGTTCGCTTTATGGGATATGCAGAGAGTTCAGGCCATCGTGGCCCTAATAGGTCAAGTTAAAAAGAGCGACAATATAAAATATATATATATATATAGCAAAAAGTCAACTTACCAGGTACGCACTCAGGAAACACTGCGGCATCCCATAGACCAAAGGAACACTGCAAATCGTGTTGACCTTCAAGTGTGTGCCCAGGTGTACAGCCGACGGCCACGATGCCATCGTGCTCAATTCGTGCGCCAGGCGCTGCTTCACGTTCATTGTCTATGTCCCGGAATGCCATGTGAAGCTTACGAGGTAGTAGACAGGACACTGCATCAAAAATGGAACAGCGACACAGTAGAGGTCGTAATCATTAAAAATTTTTAAAAAAAGTTCCTAGCACGAGTATGATATGCATAACGTTTAGAGTATCAAGAATGCAAGACCTCATCTAGACTGCCTGATAAGCAAATTATATTTTTCTTGTCAAAATGACCGTTGATTTTTGTATGAGAACTCCAAAAGTGGCTATTTTATGCCCTTTTCATGAAAGTTAATTTAATCTTTTTAATATCGTTGATGCTTTGCTCAGTTCGATGAAATTAGATAATATCTGATTTTTGTTCAAGTTTCGAAAAAGTACGCGATGTTTTCAGCGATTAATTTGATTAGATAATTAAGAATGAACTGGCTTGTTTAGTACCAGCAGTAGTAAATGATTGTATACGCGCTACGATGAACAGCCTGATAAAGTAAATAAATAAATAAATCTAGATACTGCGCTTCAATATATAGATCCCAAATCGGAGTACATTTTCAACCAACTTCGGAGTACTCATATTATTTTACAGAAGTTCAATACATATATTGCCTTTTGCGTAAGAGCTTACACTACGCTTAAAACCTTATTATTTGCAATTGCTCGTATTCAACTAGAAACACGTCTAGAAGCAAAAGAGTGTTAACAAAATTACCATTGAAAGGGAAGAATACGAAATGAAAATGGAATGATTTTAATGCATCCATACTTTTGATTGTAGCCAAGCAGCATTTCATGTTTAGGAAACACCGTCCTATATTGTATTTCTCAGAGGCAAACGGAATAAGAAAGACAGACACGGTAATATATCAGAGTTGAAGGGAAGTTAAGCTCAATGTCGTCGGCAGCAGTACCCCTAGGAATCTGTCGCCACGAGTGGAATGGTGGAATCGATCGGAAAAGACAACAATGATCCTAAGGAAAAATTAAACCGCAGGGGAGGTGAAGTTTTGCTTCCTATTCCATCCCAATGCTTACTCTAGTGGAAAAGTGCACTTCAGCGGACGAGAAAGTAATATAGAGGCATAGAGGTTATTTAAAGCTGTCTTTTATGAAAGAACGCACAAAGGGCAAAGTCTCTAGTAAAAGAAGTTTCAAGGGCTTCTCGCCAACAAAGTTGATGATAACAACAGCAACGACGGCAACAACCAGGATCACATATTACCGTTATATCTTCGCCAATTTACGTCTTTGGAGGTAGGCCGTTGGCACGTTTTCGAAAAATAGTTGTAGTGGACATTCTGCTGCTTAAAGAAGAGAAATGCAGCTAAGGTGCCTTGGCTGTACCTACATGCTTCGCTACCCAGCCAAAATAGTTTGGCTGATGTGTGTATGCTGAATCTAGACAGGGGTCTCCGAGGGATTCGTCAGAAAAAGAAGGTACGGCACACTCATGAGGACAAGCTTTTCGAAGGGGAAGATCGGATCTTGGATCCGTTTGAGGTGTCTTTCAGGGTCATCCAACCCTACGAGCAAGTTCTTTCTGCCTATGTGTTTGCGCCCTACGTGGCTGCCTATGTGTCACTGGAGGTACCTCGGCTCGGTTTCCTATGCTGGTCCCATGGTAATTGGTTATTTCCCAATTCCTAAGTCCCTCCGGTTGCGTTAGAATCAGGGAGAGCAGCATTGTTGGTACATCGCTGCTGCCTTTGGAAACACTGGAGCATTCGACTCGGCTGAAGCAAGAAGACTGTGTAAGGCAATGGAGGCTTGTAGGACCGACGGGAAACAGCTGCGAAGAACCGTAGGCCTATGGAAGCATAATTCGCACATATGGCCTGCAGTAGGCAGTATTCATTGAATCTGCTATTATTGCTCCGTGACTTACCCCTTCATTCGATGCCGCCGTATGCATTTCGCTTCATGGAAGATGGGAGGAAATTTGCAGACTTTACCTGGCCTAGTCCGTATTTGCTGTCTTCCTGCCAAGGTCAGTAATAGCGAAACACAGGGAGAGAGAACAGGGGCGACGAAAGTTACCGTTGCTCAACTGCGGAGACGCAAGCTAACCCTCTGCTTAGCTGCATTGGTGCTATTTGCATTCAACGTGACCGGGGCCACTAATGACCGCTCTCTTGTGGCCTATGCGTGTCCGGGCATCCCTTGCTGCCAGAGCTGAGCACCAGCCTGCAGAGTCTCTGAAGTTACTGCTACTCGGCTGCGCGAGAGCACGAAAGCTTCTCTTTGGTCTACGCCGGAGACGTCGGCCAGATGGCCTAACGTATGGACGCCACAGAAAGTGCTGTGTTCGGCAGTAAACGCAGGAGTGAATGACTGAAAATGTACAAGTTGCCACACGCCACTATGGCGACCTACGATGCTCGGCCCCCAGATGCAGGCCTCAGTCGGGAGTACTGGCGGTGGGTTTTCTTCATCTGACGTTGGATAGGCCTAACGTTCGAACGAGCAATTCGGTAAACGTTGAGAAGTCATGTCTTTACAACGAGAGAACATCCTATAACATCAGAGAAGCCGCTATGTGCAAGGAAATTAACTGTCACCCATAAAAATAAGCCAAAGTCGGAAATCATGAGGTGGCAAAGTGTACGTTTATTTTGCTGTTCGTATTGTGCCAGACTGACAGTTGATCTGGAATATGGAACAATATGTTAGTATCGAGCCAATGAAGCGTGCAGAACTATGATTTAAAGAGAGCCATCACTCATTCAGAGCTGTTTTAAATGAACAAAGGACGAATGCTAGCATTCAAAACCTTTTGGGCATAACTTTAGCGTTATTATGCAATCTATCGGCATTGAGATTAGCGTTGTTGCCAACTTTGCACATACATAGATCAAGCAAAGTTTTGTCTATTGTCAGATGTTTCTACTTTTTATGGCTGAGTTGTGAAGGACTGCAAACGATCGTGACAAATGTTTATTGTCTATGATTCGTAAGACCCCAAAAGATTTATCTATGATTCTTCAAATGGATCAGAAGGCCGTCATTCAAATGCAGGTAAACGAATAGGAACTGAGACCCTCTCAGGACGAAAAAGTTCGCCCATTCAAAACCATATTATGAAAATGTTATTTTTTCAACATGTATTTACAGTGCAATATATGCTATAGGGCCCGATTCGAGCAACAGGTTCCGGTGATTGCGTTTATCGGGGTACTCTTGGAAGTATCTCCCAAGGGGCGTATTCAAATTTATACGATCGAGGAGGCCTATATATATATATATATATATATATATATATATATATATATATATATATATAGAGAGAGAGAGAGAGAGAGAGAGGGAGGCAATAATAAATATAACTTGTGTGTAACATAAATGTGTAGCTGAATGATATTGATGCTTCATCTATGCAGTATAATTGAACAAGTGGGAAAAATGTTCCACCATTATCACAAACTGATTTATAAAAAAAGTAATAACTACAAATTAGCAAACAATTCAACCTATACATATAGATATGTATCTGCTAAACATCTTGCTAGTTACCTACCCATGGTGCAGGTCTTTGGCCTTGTTTAGGATTATTCACAATGATTTCCTGCTCAAATTAGCATAGAGCCTATTGCGGGTCATCACATCATCATCATTGTACCTTTACGACGACAAGAAACAATAATCATTTGTATTATTCATCGTAAATATCATCAGAGCTCTTATAAACATTATATACAGATTTCTTTCATGCACTTTATAAAAAAAAAAACTATTCGTGAAATATTAGTATCAAACCCCGATATGATGGTCGCATGTTGCATCAGATAAGATACCATTTAACGAATGTAGGACTGACATACTTTGGATTCCATCAGCCATAAATTTCCACATCAAAAACATTCATCTAATTGTAATAATACCCAATTTGGGTTCTTTATTCCGCCCGTTGACGCAGCCTTGTTATCCTTTTAATAATATCAACCATAGTTTAAGACCTATTCCGTCTGTATTCCTCCTACGAGTTCCATATGAGGCGAATTTAGGCCAGTTCAGTCAATGTGTGCGATTTATAATGAACATTATAAATTTGTAGCTATTCCTTGCTATCAAATTAGCAATACACCGCAAGATATGGCTTTCTTATCTATGGCTTGCAGTAGTCCTATAGATTACGTGTTGCCTCTCCGAGCAGGCTTCATAAATGCTGGTCATCTATGATGAATAACTTAACGCTTTTTTACGTGAAGTTTTTATAGATACTGAGCGTTCAGCTATTGCTAACACACTAAGTTGAGCGCTTACATAATATCTTTTGAAAATATTTTACCCATGTAAATAGTACAAAGTTAACGGTATAGATCCTGAAGACTAGCGACATGTAAATACCATATAAGAAATCAGGTAAAGAACGAGGTTACTAATGCAATCTTCTGCGATTCTCAGTTGATGAAAGTTAGGGGTTTTTTTGTTCCCAATACGTGGTGTTGTTGTTGTTGTTTAATCTGTGTTCGTGTATCAATCGAGACTTCGCTGTTCTTCAATGTACCATTTAATGCATCTTTTTCTCGTGAAAACTTACTTGTCTGTATAGTACTTACATCCACCACCATCAATAGTGCTATCACATTCGCAGCTTTCGCTTCAATCCACGCCAAGATAGGCGAGATTCGTAGATCTTCATTGACTTCAGCGTGACTCCGTACACCTAACCGGAACATCATGATACCATGCCTAAACCCTTGTTATTGCTGCTTCTAAATGCGCTTGTTAATAGCTCCTAACATCAGTCTTCCCTTGTGCTCTGATCGTGAGCCTTTTTCAGACTTCCCACTCGTTCTAATCCTACCACCCGCTTTGGCTTCTTGAAACCCGAAGGTAGGCTCAAGGCCCGTAACGAGAAACGAGAAATACCCTTCATTTTCTCATCCCGAACTCGTGCCCTCGACTCATGTCTTTTCCAGTGTACGTTTTATGAATGGCGTGATTTCTCTTTTCTTTTTGCTGCCTTTGGCTACTTGCTTCGTTCAGTGGAGCGCGTAATCCACCGGACAGGCGTGCGGTCCCGTCTTCTGCTGTCATCCTTTCGATACCACCATAAAAGCTGTATTGT